GTTTTACTGCATAAATCATTGAAATGAATGTGTTAGGAAAGAAACATAGAACAACATAAGATAATAAGATTTCGATGACAGACGCTGATCCAGGATTTTAAAAGAGGTTGGGGCTAGGCAATGTTAGGAGTAGAAAATGTAAAATTATATGCATTAGCCATACATTAAGCTCTACATAGACCCCCTACCCCTAAATCCGCCTTTGGATGCGCTATGCAGTCAAAAAGGCACGCTATTTTTTCCTTTTCGATGTTTAATTCCCAATGCAGTGTAGAAGATCACGAGTTTGCGCAACGCTAAAATATAAGTATAAACATGATACAGGGCCATATATATACTTGTTCGTTGCATATGTTGTTTGTATATGCATATCTATGACGAGAACCCGATTTTGTATTACACCTCAGGAAGATATGTCACTCTACCGGACACATGATTCTGACTCCGGAACGACAAATCTTAGCTCTTACTCCTAAATATTGCGTGCTTGACAGAGAGGCATTCAATCTTTGATTTGAACCGGATGACGATCGAGCCCAAGACCTCCTGCACTCTAACAGAAGCGTAGCTTCCGTTGACGCTATGAGGCAACCGCCTTACCAACTTTTTGACCATTAAACAAATAGAGATAAAGAGAAAATATACCGTGTATTTTATAGTATATATTGAAAAATATTTTGCGATACTAATTTACCATTAACCTCCACTCCTCATTGGCATTGATGTCTTTTAACCAAGTTGAGGCTTTAACTGCCAAGATTCAAATTTTTTGCTTCACTAGAAATAAAATTCAAGTTACGGTTCCGTCAATAGGTAGATAGTTGGTTGTTTAACGTCCAGTGGTAAATATTTAAAGCATATTCAGGACGAGAACAAATCATCAATAAATATAATAGGTAGGTCCTCTGATAAGAGGCCGTCCGAGTTGAAGATCAGGGAAATTCGGACTGCCACTGGAAAATGAGAGTATATTGGATAGAGATAGAAATTTGGACTTGCAACATGTCTCCTACAAACCCCTGAAAGATTTGTTTAAAGGTTCTTAACGTGCAGAGAGCGTGGCATTATCTCTACAATAGGCATCGGATTTAACGTCTTCATTATGACCTGACGTGACTGCGTACTTGTACATCTCGCACGGCCAAATGGATGCCCCACTTTCAGGTAATTGTTTTACTGTCGGTTTGAAAGTGACCAGGAGTGACCATATTTCTATTCCCCAGTAAACATTGGGGCACTACTGTCGAGTGGCCCTTCACATTATCACATTTCAATGTTCAGTGCACCACATAATCCGGGTAAAACTATAATTTGGTATATAATTTTATTTTGAACGGAAAGAAAGAACGAACGGACGCACAGATCAGTAAATATAATATTCCCTTGCTATCATAAGTTGGTCATTAAACTAAAATGATCATCCTACATAACTAAACTGCAATCAAATATTCCGTACGTATTTGCATAAGTTAGAACGCCAAACATTTCATAATAAAATTGTGATGAATGCCGTTAAATCACTCATACATTTGCACAAACTCATCCTAGAATCCATACGTTATTATAATTAAAGACAAGAAGTAAAAAAATAACTGATTAAAGTAAAGTGTAATCATATTTTTCCTTGAAGATGCATCCTCATCAATTCCATTTGATAAAATTTTACGGAAAGGTGAAAAAGTACTATCAGAGATCTGATTTTCTACCGTTAACAAAAGTATCTTCAAATAAATGATAGACGTATGCTATAAAAAACCAAGGCAAGAGGTAAGTCGTGTACACATGTTACATTTCGTCGTGTTTGAAACTCTCTCGCTTCAGATTTCATTAATTCTATTTTTTCAAACTTAATTTTGATTTAAAAAATTCACCCTTTGAGGAATAAATATATGGGTCAAGTGAAATGATGAAGTAATGATTGGTTCATTTGACTACCGGTAACTGAATTAATTATTTCCTTAAAAGATGGTTGTCAATAAAATAATCCCGAATTTAATAAATAAAATATGTAAAGAATTAAAAAAGCAGATTGTAAAATTGAGAATGGAAATGGGGAATGTGTCTAAGAGACAACAACCCGACCATAGAGCAGACAACAGCCGGAGGCTACCAATGGGTCTTCAATGTAGCGAGAAACTCCCGCACCCGAAGGCGTCCTTCAGCTGGCTCTTAAACAAATATGTATTTTTCATTTTTTAGTAGCAACAAACAAATGAACTATGTCAATTGGACATGCTTTTATACTAATAGTATATCCGCCCTTGAATTTTTACTTGATAACATTTTTGTTCGCTTTGGAGATTCCGTATATCGTCAAGTTATCGGAATTCCAATGAGGACTAACTGTACACCACTTATTGCGGACCTGTTTTTGTATTGTTATGAGTTACAATTTATGACTAAAATCAGCAAAGACCCATCGAAACAACATCTGATACAAAAAATTAACAATACTTTTAGATATTTGGATGATATATTGGCTCTCAATAATGACGACTTCAGTATGTTTACTAAAGAAATTTATCCTGTTGAACTTACTTTAAATAAAGCTAATACTAACAATGACCACTGTCCTTTCCTCGATCTTGATATCTATATCATTAACGGGAAGCTTAATACAAAAATTTATGATAAAAGAGATTATTTTTCATTTCCTATCGTTAATTATCCATTTTTAGATGGTGACGTTCCCTTGTCACCATCTTATGGTGTTTATATATCTCAACTTGTACGATTCGCTCGTGTATGTAACAACGTATTAGATTTTAGCGCGAGAAATTTATGTATTACTGAAAAATTATTACACCAGGGTTTTCTATATCATAAACTAGTCAAAACATTTACTAAATTTTATCATCGGTATAAGGACATCACTCGTAAATATAACTCAACATGCAGATATCTTATACGTTCGGGTATTTCACATCCAATCTTTTATGGTAATATTCTTTACAAAGCACAAAAATGTCAGTATTCACCTCAAAAGCTAACAAAACCTTTAAACAGACTTATTAAGAAGGGATATAGTTACGATACTGTTGTCAGGTCATTAAAGATTGCATATTTTGGCTTTAATATTAATTCACTTATAGGGTCTTTGCATCGGAATTAAACACATTTATTCTAAAACAAGTTGTTGGCATGACACGGGTTATGTTCTTCTCATATATTTTATGGCGGTATAATACTGAACCCCTAACAGGAGGGATTGTGCCTGATATTCATATGATGAAGACATAATCTTTTAATCAGTTTAATTGAGGTCTGGAGCTGGCATGTCAGTAACTGCTAGTAGTCTGTTGTTATTTATTTATTTATTATTGTCATTTTGTTTATTTTCTTTTGTTTCCTATTCTGATATCGGACTCGGACTTCTCTTATACTGAGTTTTACTGTACGTACTGTTGTGCGTTTGTTTTTTCTACATTGGCTAGAGGTATAGGGGGAGGGTTGAGATCTCAAAAAACATGTTTAACCCCACCGCATTTTTGCGCCTGTCCCAAGTCAGGAGCCTCTGGCCTTTGCTAGTCTTCTATCATTTTTAAATTTAGTTTCCTGTGTATAATGTGGAGTTTAGTATGACGTCCATTATCACTGAACTAGTATACATATTTGTTTAAGGGCCAGCTGAAGGACGCCTTCGGGTGCGGGAGTTTCTCGCTGCATTGAAGACCCATTGGTGGCCTTCGGCTCTATGGTCGGGTTGTTGACTCTTTGACACATTCCCCATTTCCATTCTCAATTTTATGTATACTAGTTCAGTGATAATGGACGTCATACTAAACTCCAAATTATACACAGGAAACTAAAATTAAAAATGATACAAGACTAACAAAGGCCAGAGACTCCTGACTTGGGACAGGCGCAAAAATGCTGCGGGGTTAAACATGTTTTTTAAGATCTCAATCCTCCCCCTATACCTCTAGCCAATGTAGAAAAAACAAACGCACAACAATACGTACAGTAAAATTCAGTATAAGAGAAGTCCGAGTCCGATTGTCAGAATAGGAAACAAAAGAAAATAAACAAAATGACAAAAATACATAAATAACAACAGACTACTAGCAGTTACTGACATGCCAGCTTCAGACCTTAATTAAACTGATTAAAAGATTATGTTTTCATCATATGAATATGTGCTTATTTTGAAATAGTATCTATTCCAACAAAGTTAGTGTATTCAACGAGCCAAAGATTCATGCAGTTTATGCTCCCCTCCGCCATCCTTCAATTCAATAGGGCGAGATACGGTCAGATAGGTTGGTAATGTCGAGTAATGTCATTTTATTGGAAATCTCTAGTGAGTTGGGATTTTGTATCTATCAATTCGATTATTTAAAGATAGTTAGATCTTGAGACTTTCCCGAGAGTCGGAAGATACCAAGGAGATATTGAAACTCATAAGTCGAAGACAAGTCAATTATCAGTTTCTTTGATTTTCAGGTAACATAGTATCAGTAAATGAAGTCTTTTGAAGTCGATTCAGTCTATTATGATGTCTGTTAAACAATGATTTATAGGTATAATGTGTTTATAAATAATTTTTCAGCAAGATGATTGCCAGTATTTTGTATGTTAGCATCCTTCTGAGTCACGTCATTATCGAAACTGATGCCAAGAAAATTTTGTTCCTGATGGCTCAATCAAAAAGTCATATGTTTCCGGCAATACCTGTTGCGGAGGAGATGGTAAAATTAAACCATACAACTACTTTTGTGGTAGCAGCTAGAATGAAAGAGGCGTTGGCATCTGAAGGCATTAAACTTTCACCTTCTATCATTTCAAAGAGTTTTGATAAGTATTATTATGAGGACATTATTCGAGTTACGCTTGAGAAAATGGCACAAGGTTCAAAAATTGAATCGCAGGTGAAATGGTTACAAGGAACTAACGCTCTTTGTCACGAATTTATGAATGATAAGAAATTGATAGACGAATTAAAAGACCAGAGATTTGATATTGCTGTTATAGACTACGCACCTGTTCTTTGTTTCACTATTATGGCATATAAACTAGATCTGCCATTTGTCTCTTTTGGTGCCTTCATAGATCCAACCTTAAATAGAGTTCCATTGAACCCAGCTTTCACGCCAACATTTTTTTCCGATTTCAATGATAAGATGACATTCTTGGAGAGAGTTTGGAATACACTCCGATACATTTTTTTAGTTGCTAGACCTGCAGCTCCAACGTTGGAGAATTTGGCAGTCAAGTATGTCCCAGAAAAACCAGCCATCTCTAATCAAGAAGCAAAACAAAAAGCTATGCTTTATATACATGACAGTGACATTCTATTTGATTATCCACAACCATTTCCTCCAAATGTAATACTTTGTGGCGGTCTTGCTGCACATCCGTCAAAAAAAGTATCAAAAAAACTTGACACATTTGCATCATCAAACAAAGGCTTGGTAGTTGTTTCTTTTGGTAGTATTTTCAAAACATTTCCGAATAATACCTTCGGGAAAATGATTGAAGCTTTTAAACAAATATCTGATCTTAACTTTGTGATTCGACAAGGAGATACAGAGGAGACAACAGACAATATTTTGAGACTTCCATGGATCCCGCAGAACGATTTACTCGGTCATCCCCGTACCGTTTTATTTATAACTCATTGCGGTAGGAGTGGAAGTATGGAGGCTATCTACCACGGAATCCCTGTTATTACATTTCCCTTAAGTATTGACCAACCTTACAATGCAGCTGTTATGGAAGACAAAGGTTATGGTATCAAGATGGATTTACATGATTTTTCTACTGAGGAATTAATTGCCAATATTAAACAAGTAGCTTTTACCGATAAGTATAAGCGTAATATTAAGCAAGCATCGGACATATTCCACAGTCGCCCACAAACTCCTGCAGAAAGGGCAGCTTATCATATCGATTTAGTTGCCAAGCATGGTGATAAACATTTTCGACACTTTGGGATAGATATACCATGGTATTCGTTTTATCTTGTTGATGTTATATGCTTTCTTTTGTTAATGAACATAAGCTCCTCTGTCGTAATGTATTTAGTGTTTAGGAAATGCAGAAGACATTTGAAAAACAGAGCTATTAAACTTAAAAAAGAATAAAAAAACAATAGATATTTAAAGATTGTTATTTTTTAAATGATTATCAATTATCACATACTGTACACGATATATAAATGAATTTATATTATTGTTTTATGTTTTAAGTGCGCTGTTGGATTATTTGTAGAATTTGACGTCTACCTCTTATCTAATTCTATTTAGTCAAATATATAATCAAAATGCCCTATTTGACATCATATATAATGCAGTTCTACCGATCTAAATGAGGGAATGGATTTTTTTAACAGGTGAGTCTAAATTAAATTTTCCCATTGTTTCTCCAAGTACTAAAGTTATTGACTCTAAGCAATATGTTTTTCCCAAATGAAGTAAAAATATGTTAAACTAAAACTATATATGTAGCTATATTTAAACCATTGTGGTGACGTCAGCCTATTCATTTTCCGTGGATTCTTTTTCTAGAATCAACGCTTCCTAAATCTGCCGCTGAAATTGACTCACCAAATTATATTCAATTGTTTCCTTTGTATGCCTAATTTCATTAAGTTTGAATTGGCTAATTTACTGATTTCTGTTCACTAACGGAATTAATTTAAAAACTTACCTTTAATTTTTGTAATTTTTATATGCCTTCACTGGGAATCGAACCCTTCCTTGAAATCTGTTATGTGTGACTGACATCAACACACCGACGAAACCTCTCGGCTACCAATGGGTTACACTATAGATGTTTATTATATATATTTAAATGAACATCTGATATACATCGGTTCATCGGACACACAGGGCTTGTACCTTTATATAGACAAAATAGGCAGTCGTATAGTATGAGTTGGTAGCCGCGAGGTTAGCATGGTTAAACTCAATGAGTTAAAGATCGGGATTTGTCGGTTTAGTTCGAATCCCTGTATTCTCTCTGTTGTTCCAATTCTTAAGTTATCCTGGTTTTTTTTCTAATTTTTCAAGTTATAGTGGATATTTTTGTAATAATAGCGAGTTTTACCGGTTTTTTTTATTATTATTGGCTATTTCACATGTTTGAAACACAAATGATTACATTCTATTTGTCAATTTTTGTTTTATAAATACAGTATGATTTCATCTGTTTTACTACATAATTTTACAAAGGTTTGTTTGCAAATTCCTATGCGAGAAAATCGTGATGTGCCTAGAGTGCTAGAAAAATTTCGATAACATAATTATTATATATACTTTATATATGCTTTTTGGTCGGGTTGTTGTCTCTTTGACACGTTCCCCATTTCCATTTTCAATTTTATTAGAAATAATCTCAAATATGTCTTATTTTGTATAAACAGATAATATTCATATGCCTGGTAATATAAAGATCTTTAAAGGTAGAAGTGTTATATTTGTATTTTGTTAACCAATTAATTGTGATCTGAGATTTATCAATGCATCGTTGGACACGATAACATGGTTATTTAAACTCACTTACAATACCTTCTAATTAAGAAAGGCTTTAATTTTGAAAAGAAATTAACACAATAGTTTAAGTTATAGATACAATGGATAAGCGTAGATTCATGAAAAACAAACCATTCGCCCTCCGGGCTCATGGTTTCTTTTTCAAGAATCCACGCTTATCCATTGTATCTATATAACATCGCCCAGTTGATTCGATATATCAGAGTTTCTTTTTTCGGTATGATTTCGTGATAGGGATTACTGCTGACAAGGGGACCATGCGCTAATACGATATTCAAAATCCTCTTTACAATTTAAATCGCCGAACACGAATATTCAGCACAATTTCAATTCTTCGATCGCCGAATGACAACGTTGATGCCAAATTCTCCTGCACCACTACATTTGAGTTGAGGGATATGTATTAAAATATTCTAGAACTTATCACCTTTTAAAAAAGCACTTTAAAATGAATTCCTGTAAACATGAATTAAAGTATGCTCAGATCTTCCTGGTTTTTACTAGCTCAATAAAACGAACCGTTTCTATGGAGCAACATTCCAGCAACGCCTGCATACGGAGTATATATCTCCCAGTTGATACAATATTCTAGGACTCGCATTTCCTATCATGAATTATTTGATAGAGGGGTGCTGTTCACAAGGAAACTATTAAACCAATACTTCCAAGTGGGAATATTTTACGGACGCCATCATGAGTTGGTTGACGGTTATGGAATATGTTTCACAGGTGGCGATGGATATATTCTAATTGTCGTAAGTACAATCCCGTCCCCTTTTCCCCGAATGTGACCTACCGAATAAGACTTATCACCGAGTTTGTACTTTCATAAGCAATACATCGGGTGCTACATGTGGAGCAGGATCTGATTTCCCTTCCGGAGAATCTGAGATTACTCCCAGTTTTTGCTGGGGTTCGTGTTGTTCAGTCTTTAATTTTCTATGTTGTGTTTTGTGTACTGGCGTTTGTCTGTTTGTCTTTTTCTTTTTTAGCCATGGCGTTGTCAGTTTATTTTCGACTTATTAGTGTGAATGTCCGTTGGTATCTTTCGCCTCTTTTTTTATATATACACCTCATGTATTCTCTCCATGGCCCAAAACTTTAGTACACTACTTATAGGACTTATTGTCCTCCATTGACATTTTCCCCCGTGTTTTGCCTTTTTGGTAGAAACTATAGTAGATAAACAGAAACTGTGAATAGGTTTGTTGTCAGGTCAAGTTGAAAATCACTGGATGTTCAACACAATGACTTATAATCCAATACATAATCAATCATAAAAAAAGTTAATGTAAACACCAGACACATGAGGTTACAAGGTTGAAATAAATTTCGAGTAATGACATTTTATTGGAAATCTCTAGTGAGTTGGGATTTTGTATCTATCAATTCGATTATTTAAAGATAGTTAGATCTTGAGACTTTCCCGAGAGTCGGAAGATACCAAGGAGATATTGAAACTCATAAGTCGAAGACAAGTCAATTATCAGTTTCTTTGATTTTCAGGTAACATAGTATCAGTAAATGAAGTCTTTTGAAGTCGATTCAGTCTATTATGATGTCTGTTAAACAATGATTTATAGGTATAATGTGTTTATAAATAATTTTTCAGCAAGATGATTGCCAGTATTTTGTATCTTAGCATCCTTCTGAGTCACGTCATTATCGAAACTGATGCCAAGAAAATTTTGTTCCTGATGGCTCAATCAAAAAGTCATATGTTTCCGGCAATACCTGTTGCGGAGGAGATGGTAAAATTAAACCATACAACTACTTTTGTGGTAGCAGCTAGAATGAAAGAGGCGTTGGCATCTGAAGGCATTAAACTTTCACCTTCTATCATTTCAAAGAGTTTTGATAAGTATTATTATGAGAACATTATTCGAGTTACGCTTGAGAAAATGGCACAAGGTTCAAAAATTGAATCGCAGGTGAAATGGTTACAAGGAACTAACGCTCTTTGTCACGAATTTATGAATGATAAGAAATTGATAGACGAATTAAAAGACCAGAAATTTGATATTGCTGTTATAGACTACGCACCTGTTCTTTGTTTCACTATTATGGCATATAAACTAGATCTGCCATTTGTCTCTTTTGGTGCCTTCATAGATCCAACCTTAAATCGAGTTCCATTGAACCCAGCTTTCACGCCAACATTTTTTCCGATTTCAATGATAAGATGACATTCTTGGAGAGAGTTTGGAATACACTCCGATACATTTTTTTAGTTGCTAGACCTGCAGCTCCAACGTTGGAGAATTTGGCAGTCAAGTATGTCCCAGAAAAACCAGCCATCTCTAATCAAGAAGCAAAACAAAAAGCTATGCTTTATATACATGACAGTGACATTCTATTTGATTATCCACAACCATTTCCTCCAAATGTAATACTTTGTGGCGGTCTTGCTGCACATCCGTAAAAAAAAGTATCAAAAAAACTTGACACATTTGCATCATCAAAAAAAGGCTTGGTAGTTGTTTCTTTTGGCAGTATTTTCAAAACATTTCCGAATAATACCTTCGGGAAAATGATTGAAGCTTTTAAACAAATATCTGATCTTAACTTTGTGATTCGACAAGGAGATACAGAGGAGACAACAGACAATATTTTGAGACTTCCATGGATCCCGCAGAACGATTTACTCGGTCATCCCCGTACCGTTTTATTTATAACTCATTGCGGTAGGAGTGGAAGTATGGAGGCTATCTACCACGGAATCCCTGTTATTACATTTCCCTTAAGTATTGACCAACCTTACAATGCAGCTGTTATGGAAGACAAAGGTTATGGTATCAAGATGGATTTACATGATTTTTCTACTGAGGAATTAATTGCCAATATTAAACAAGTAGCTTTTACCGATAATTATAAGCGTAATATTAAGCAAGCATCGGACATATTCCACAGTCGCCCACAAACTCCTGCAGAAAGGGCAGCTTATTATATCGATTTAGTTGCCAAGCATGGTGATAAACATTTTCGACACTTTGGGATAGATATACCATGGTATTCGTTTTATCTTGTTGATGTTATATGCTTTCTTTTGTTAACGAACATAAGCTCCTCTGTCGTAATGTATTTAGTGTTTAGGAAATGCAGAAGACATTTGAAAAACAGAGCTATTAAGCTTAAAAAAGAATAAAAAAACAATAGATATTTAAAGATTGTTATTTTTCAAATGATTATCAATTATCACATACTGTACACGATATATAAATGAATTTATATTATTGTTTTATGTTTTAAGTGCGCTGTTGGATTATTTGTAGAATTTGACGTCTACCTCTTATCTAATTCTATTTAGTCAAATATATAATCAAAATGCCCTATTTGACATCATATATAATGCAGTTCTACCGATCTAAATGAGGGAATGGATTTTTTTAACAGGTGAGTCTAAATTAAATTTTCCCATTGTTTCTCCAAGTACTAAAGTTATTGACTCTAAGCAATATGTTTTTCCCAAATGAAGTAAAAATATGTTAAACTAAAACTATATATGTAGCTATATATCGCCCAGTTGATTCGATATATCAGAGTTTCTTTTTTCGGTATGATTTCGTGATAGGGATTACTGCTGACAAGGGGACCATGCGCTAATACGATATTCAAAATCCTCTTTACAATTTAAATCGCCGAACACGAATATTCAGCACCATTTCAATTCTTCGATCGCCGAATGACAACGTTGATGCCAAATTCTCCTGCACCACTACATTTGAGTTGAGGGATATGTATTAAAATATTCTAGAACTTATCACCTTTTAAAAAAACACTTTAAAATGAATTCCTGTAAACATGAATTAAAGTATGCTCAGATCTTCCTGGTTTTTACTAGCTCAATAAAACGAACCGTTTCTATGGAGCAACATTCCAGCAACGCCTGCATACGGAGTATATATATCTCCCAGTTGATACAATATTCTAGGACTCGCATTTCCTATCATGAATTATTTGATAGAGGGGTGCTGCTCACAAGGAAACTATTAAACCAATACTTCCAAGTGGGAAAATTTTACGGACGCCATCATGAGTTGGTTGACGGTTATGGAATATGTTTCACAGGTGACGATGGATATATTCTAATTGTCGTAACTACAATCCCGTCCCCTTTTCCCCGAATGTGACCTACCGAATAAGACTTATCACCGAGTTTGTACTTTCATAAGCAATACATCGGGTGCTACATGTGGAGCAGGATCTGATTTCCCTTCCGGAGAATCTGAGATTACTCCCAGTTTTTGCTGGGGTTCGTGTTGTTCAGTCTTTAATTTTCTATGTTGTGTTTTGTGTACTGGCGTTTGTCTGTTTGTCTTTTTCTTTTTTAGCCATGGCGTTGTCAGTTTATTTTCGACTTATTAGTGTGAATGTCCGTTGGTATCTTTCGCCTCTTTTTTTATATATACACCTCATGTATTCTCTCCATGGCCCAAAACTTTAGTACACTACTTATAGGACTTATTGTCCTCCATTGACATTTTCCCCCGTGTTTTGCCTTTTTGGTAGAAACTATAGTAGATAAACAGAAACTGTGAATAGGTTTGTTGTCAGGTCAAGTTGAAAATCACTGGATGTTCAACACAATGACTTATAATCCAATACATTTTTATTTGTATTATGAACTGTTCCTATATTTAATTTATGTTGTCCAATATTTTTCGAAATCCAGTTCAGCGCCTTTGGGACGTCGCAAGGGAATTGATCTGATAATTATAAAATTGATCTTACAGATCTTTGGTCTTATTTTAATTTATTGGCCAAGCTCTTCCCTGAAATTAGCAAATTTGATAAGAAATGGATTTTGTTTGTGAAATTTTCTTTCCAATGAAAACAAATTTGATTTTATATTATTGTAACATCATTTTTACATTGAAAAAAACTGTGTTCATCAATTGAAAACTTCAAAAAATTTGTTTATCAGGGGCGGCATAAAAGAATGTATAGGTAATTTACTTATTTTGTTTTTTAGGAAGTGAACGAGTTCCTCGACCTCACCTTTTCATTTTATTTTCTGAATTTAAAACACTTATTTGTCTTCTCAAACATTGTTTTAAAATCTACTATGCACTGTCGGCTCATAGTTATTCGTCGTGTGCCAATTTTGCGTATTTTGTGGTTATTAGTAAACGCTGAACCTTAATGTGCAACGAAGTACAATTTTTTCTATGGTTTACTTTGCATACGTTATCAATTCCACGAAAATATGATCTTTCCTCCATCCAAGAAAAATTGGTATCAACGAAAACGAATGAATCCACAGTAGTGTTTTTCAATGCAGAATCCTGACAAAATCTGACAATTTTGCAAAACCGTGCTTGATACAAATTTCGATGAATCATTTTTTAATATATATTTTTGAATATTGTATAATCTTAACTACATTTTGATAAAAAAAAAAACGAAAATGTTCTGTCCTTTTTAATTAAGATCCCCATCTACCTTGAATTAAAGCAAATTTGGCAGATATACAGTACATAGATATTGTTAACTATAAGCATAATGTTCAAACTCGGCACAAAATAATTTTTGTTGTTGATTACAGCGCTAACTTCGCAAGGATTACATTTTGATACAGAATACCGGGTAATTCTGACACTTCTTATAAATATACGAGGAAAGTCAATCGTTGAAAAAGACCGAAAATATCGAATAAATAGAAGGATGAGTCAACATTTATAAGTTAAACAGTCATGCACAGACAACTCAACAACCACAAATATAAATATAAATATAAAAACAAAAGTTAATAAAACTAAAACTTTGTAAAAAAGCTATTGATTAAGCAACACACAATTGACCAAATATCAACAAATGAACTCCGATCATACTAAGGATGAACAATGCCCCTTCCACTATCCACAATAGTTGGTTTGCTAATTTGTGTAAGATTCAGGCTATCGGTCGTATTGAAAGCCCGGTGCTATAATCATGTTACAAAGACAGGATTGAGCGGGCATCCGTTTTCATCATTGTGAGGAACACTCACAGCATTTGATTGTGGGAGTTGCAATGCGGTGAAACAAGTAATATAAACAGTTGTGTCGATCAATTTTTGTCATCTGGAGGTTTGGTATAGACGTCGATGAAAGAGAAACTACACATAAAACAAACGATATCTAGAGGTGAACATACTGATTAAACAATTAAAGAAATATCCAAAAACAATACGTCAAGGACTCAAATGCCTCACATCTAGTGAATAAATTTGACATACATGATTGACTATCTGCTATAACATCAAATCCCTAAAAGACAAAACATAATCAGAAAATGGCAGAGTTTAACACAGACGAGGTTCCTCACTTGGGACAGGAATATGAACGTGTTTCAGAATCAAAGTAGCTTTGTAGTACTAAAACATTAATTCGTCGACAGTTTAGAGGAAGGAAGGTTATCTAAAAGTTGCCCGAACCAAGATAGAGTCAATTTGAACTGGTTATCTATAAATTTGAATTATACGGTATATCGCCAATGTCAATATTTAATCAATGTATTTTTCTATCGATTAATTCCGTCTTGTCAGTCATACAGTGCATTCATTATTATTCATGGGATATCATTTTTTGTAGATTTCTTTGGTATAAGTACACCACGAATTCAAATGTTAAACGAAGAACAATTTTGTTATAGGCTCGCCTGTATGAATACCTGTGGATTAAATATGTTCGAGATATACTTATTTTCGCAAAATTTCATAGACAAAATTTAAACACGAGTTAAACATTTCAACAAAATACTAGTTTTTCAATGGCTTGTTTGCGAAAATAAATCACCAAATGATAAACAATGAAGGTTCTGCAAACTAAGTCGAACGGAATGAATGGTCGGAAATTTGACTTGACTCTGCAAAGGGGTATTATGGATAGAAACAGATTTTTTGTTCATTTACGTACAGAGAGCGTGACACTCCCTTACATGATACATCGGATTCACTAACGACCAGTAGTTGCGCATTTTATGGATTCCGCATACCCAAACGTGCATTTTGTTTTGAAATATGCTTCACTGCCGACTTCCTAGTGTACAGAAGTCCAATTCTCTATATCCCAATCAACCCATTTGGGTCATGTTCAGAGGAAATCAGAATGATAATTTTACTACTTGATGAAAAAATGTAACTGATTCTATTCGGAGCATACCCGGCTACGACGGTATAATGTCTTTTTAGTTTTGAAATTGTTGCACATTTTATTGAAATGGCAGTGTGCGGAAAACGTATAAATATTTGTTGTGACCTGAAAATAGTCAATAAAAAATGACAAAAATAAAAAATCGACAGCCTTAATTATTTTTCCTGTCTTGAGAAAATATTTAAGTGTATTGACCGATGGATTTCGTTCTTGCCAATAGCCTTTATAAAAAGATTACTATAACTTCCTTTCATTTACTTTAATTCTATTTCGCCTCAGACGAGTTGAGTAAGAACTATTAGAGTATCATCGGCAATTGAAACTGCGTGCTTATCCGCGTTCACAGCCAGATATCGGTGACTTGTCGAAAAATGATTTTATAACTTGTAGAAATATCTAATAAAGTCATACACAAAACCACCACTTGTTGTTAAAAATCTTATTAAGCGGTTAAATTGAACTCAACCCAGGCCCTAAAATGCCACACTGGCCCTGTGTTTCATGTGGAAAAAATGTCACTTGGTAATGTAAAGCTTTAGAGTGTGACTTGATATCATGTGGAAAACTTGGTATCATGTAGATTGTCAAGGAGGTATGCAAGCAGTAATGTATAACATAGTTGATAACAGTAACCTGTCCTGGAATTGTATTAAATGTGGACTCCCATACTTTAGCAGTTCATATTTAACCATATTGAACTATCATCATCTGTTACAACCATTTCTTTTTCGTTATTAAGTGACATTGGTAGTCCTGGACAGCCCCATGCATGTTCATCAACAATCTCACAAAAGGACAACAGAAAACAAATTATAAAAAAAGGTAATAAGACCGAAAAACAAGTTACTTAGACCTTTGAAAATAGTAAATATTAACTTCCAGTCTATCAAGAACAAAAAACCAGAAGTAAATATTTTGATCAATACCACACAGCCTGGTATAATTAATAGGTACTGAAACCTGGTAAGATCCTAAAACATCATCATATGAATATTTTGCAAAACATCAATACACAGTATTTAGAAAAGATAGACCACCAAATAAAAGGGCAATGTCATGCAGACGTTCTCATAGCTATATCATATAATTTTTGGTGCAACTAGACCCATGATGTGAAATAATATGGATAGAACTATTGATATAAAATGCACGTAAATGTTATATATGTGCTTATTATCGACCTCAACCAGAATGAATCATTAAGTAGAATAAACGTCAGCTCAAAGTCAGCCAAAATTGTTGGGGGTGGGGGTACTTTAATTTAGGAAACATCAATTGGGAAACATCTAGTGTCATCCCTAGAAAAACAAACCAAAAGCAACATCTGTGATCATACCAACTCGAAATGATAAATTATTGTGTTAACCAATTATCCAGTCATTATTGAAAAAACTGAAACCATGCCACCATTTAGAGCGGCAGACCATGATATTGTATATATAAAATGTTTACTATCACTAAAAAGATACTAAACTAAGCCACCTAAAATTTATGAACATAAAAACGCAAACTGTCAAAATATAAAAGAGGATATAGATGAAATATATCAAGATATCATGCATTAAAAGGATAATAAAGATACAAATACACTTTGGATAATATTTAAAAATTCTCTGCAAAAACTATCTCTGAGAACTAACCACAGAAAATGATGAGACACAGCAAAGATTTACCTTGAATAACAGACAGTCTTAGGAGACAAATGAAACAATACAAGTAAAAATATCAGAATTATAAGTTGAAAGGGCAAGGGAACCTAGACCAACTCAAAAAATTAAAACATGAATTACAAAAACAGCAAAGAAGATCTTATTGGAAATATATTGAAGATATGATATGTGGTATACCAATTGATGACAACCCTACTACTATATCAAAAAGTTTTCCCAAAAATCTTTTTAGCTACATAAAAACACAAAAGTTTGAAAGCTCTAATATTCCACCACTACGGAAAAAGGGCTCACTAACATCTCATCCAAAAACAAAAGCAAATATACTAAATGAACAGTTCTAAAAAGCATTTACGCCTGTAACAGATGACCCCATACCAGATAAGAGCGTCAGTAAACATCCACAGATGCCTGATATTTAAATACAAAAACAAGGAATAGAAAAGCTTCTAAACAATATCAATATTAGTAATTTTAAAAGCAGCTAGGCCTGATCTCATCCATGGAAACATATTAAAAGAGTGCAAGACATCTCTCACTCCCATCTTGTCAATCATATTTCAAATATCACTGGAAAGATCCAAATGACTGGCTTCGTGCAAGTGTATGTCCAGCGTTCAAAAAAGGCGACAAACACGATCATATAAACCACCGTGAACAACGACACATGCTGGGTGTTGGGTATTTTTGACACGGGGTGGTGATTTTGAAGCGGAGAAAAAGCGATCAAGGTAAGTAAAAGTATCAAAATTTATTTTTTGAGAATTGTTAGCACCAAATAATATATTGCATGGAAGGAACCGAACCATAATCTATTTCCAACAAGCAGAAGCAGACGTTTCCGGTGCTCATTTTTCTCAAACACCTCTCCCTAGTTTTCTGTGTTGCAGATTTTGAGACTTCATATTCAAGTTTCAGGATAAAAAACGACTTTTGGCAATTTTTCCCCGTATGATTTATATAGAAATGGATTCCTATCATAAAATTGAACCAAATACCAGATTCCTAGTCAAAACATTTTGGTTTTAAAGTTGATTTGTCGTTCGGGGTGTCAGATTTTGCATCTCAAGGGGTTGAGGCATTCATTAAAACAAGGATAGATGTCCCTATAATTCAGTCTTTATCTGATAATTTATAATTCAAACACACCTACTCTGTTGTGATGACTCGTCACAAACTTAAAGTATTTCATTTGGCCCATATTTTTTTGTTGTTGAGTAATTAGATATAAGAAGATGTGGTATGAGTGCCAATGAGACAACCCTCCATCCACGTCAAAATTTATAAAAGTAAACCATTATGTATATTTTTAATGTTAGAAATAGAGTAAAAGACTCAGAAGTATTTTGTTTTATACCTGAACATGATTTGTTTTCCTTTTCAGTTACCATCATGGTCAGGAAGAAGTCACGTCTATGGCTTAATGCACCAAAACATGGAGCAAATTCAAATCCGGAGCAGACCTCTGTATAAGTTTTGCCCGAAGCCGAAGCCAGCAACACCTAAACTTTATCAAATTTCTTCACCAGTTTTCTCTTCAAAGCATACGTGGACGCCGCAAAATGGACTTACTCCGAAACGAATTGGCTTACTCACTCCACAGAAATACTTACCGGCATCTATATTTACAAATGACAATAACGCTATAAAAAGACCTGAAGAAGATAACACATCAATTTTAATCGATCTAAAACAGCAATTAAAAATCTAGAAGAACATAATCTGGCGACCGATTTTCTTCCATTTATCCAAATTAATTATAAAAGAATACAAATTTTCATTAGACAATATTTCCTTTCTTCTTTTCCTTGTTGGCTTGTATAGCTCAATACTATAATATTTGTATGGATAATTATAACAGATATATATATAATACAAGTTTTAAAATATGCAGCTGCATTTCATTTTAAATGACCATAGAAACAGATGAATGCCAACATGATCTTTTTTAAACTTTCTTTACCCCAGTTTTTGATGGGGTTCGTGCTGTTCAGTCTTTAGTTTTCTATGTTGTGTTTTTGTACTATTGTTTTTCTGTTGGTCTTTTTCTATTTTAGCCATGGCGTTGTCAGTTTATTTTCGACTTATGAGTTTGAATGTCCCTTTGGTATTTTTCGCCTCTCTTTTAAGAAAAGAATGTAAATATAGATGCCAGTTAGTATTTCTGTGGAGTGAGTAAGCAAATGTTTCGGAATAAGTCCTTTTTGCGGCGTGCACGTATGCTAATGTAGAGAAAACTGGTAAAGAAATTTGATGACGTTTAGGTGTTGCTGGCTTCGGTCTCAGGCAAATCTTTTACGGAGGTCTGCTCCGCGTGTGTTTTTGCTGCATGTTTTTGGTGCAATAAGCCATAGCCGTGACTTCTTCGAATTCCTGACCATGATAGTAACTGAAAAGGAAAAACAAATCATGTTCAGGTATAAACAAAATACTTTGAGACTTTTTCTCTATTTCTAACATTAAAAATGCACATTACTCAAAAAACTAAAATATGGGCAAACTGGAATACCTTAAGTTTGTGATGAGTCATCATAACAGAGTGGGTCTGTTTGAATTACAAACTATCAGATATAGGCAAATCTATCCTTGTTTTAATAAATGCCTCACCCCATTGAGACGCAAAATCTGACACCCCGAGGGATTTACATTTCTATGAACAATTAGCTTTAAAAACAATAAATTTTGACTAAGAAGCTGGCATTTGATTAAATTCTATGATCATGGTGATGGAATTAATTTCTGTATAAATCATACGGGAAAAAATTGCCAAAAGTAGTTTTTTATCCTGAAACTTGCATATGAAGTCTCAAAATCTGCAACACGGAAAACTATGGAGAGGTGTTTGAGAAAAATGAGCACCGGAAACGTCTGCTTCTGCTTGATGGAAATAGATTATGGTTCGGTTCCTTCCGTGCAATATATAATTTGGTGCTAACAGTTCTCAAAAAATAATTTTTTTATCTTGATCGCTTTTTCTTCGCTTCAAAACTATCACCCCGTGTCAAACATAGCCAACACTCCGCATGTGGCGTTCTACACGGTGTAAACTATCGCCCTGCATCTGCAAAAAACTCTTAGAACATGTTGTAGCTAGTAATACCATGAAACATCTAGAAAAAAATTAAATGCTATATGACTTACAACATGGTTTTTGATCAGCCCGTTCTTGTGAAACTCAGTTGATATCATTTATTCAAGATCTTGCAAATTCAAATAATAATGGATTTTGCTAAAGCATTTGGCAAAGTTTCACATCCTCACCTCATGTATAAAATCGGCTACTATGGTATAAAATTACAATGCTTTACATTGGATTCAAGACTTTTAACACACAGAACACAAACAGTAGTCCTTGAAGGTGAAACATGAAATAAGATTCCTGTAACATCTGGAGTATTTTTAATATTTATTAATGATTTGTCAGGATATATCAAACATACTACATTAAGATTATTCGTAGATGACAGTATTATTTTTATGGAAATTAAGAAACCGGATGACACAAATAAAATACAGTCTGATTTAGAAGCGGCCGGCAGATGGGACCGGGACTGGATCATGTATTTTCACCCTGATAAATGCAACGTTCTCAGTGTAACACAAACACGAAAACCTTTAGATTTCACTTACAAATTATATGATAATGTTTAAAATTTATTTTATTTAAATAAATTGAATTGGATTGGGCAAAGCCTATATTAGCCCTCTCCATAAACCAAGGTACAATATATTATATTCAAACAAAACAACACATACACAAACATAATGACAGCACAAAATTATTTATTTCAAAACTACCTCATAGCTGACTCGAAGGATGCTTCAAATAGTTAACTAAAATAAAAATAATTTTATTAACATTCTAATTAACGAACTCCTATATTGATTAAGAAGCATTACAATAAAGTAAACTGTTCCAGTCAGCTGTTAGATATTATTTTTAGAATAAGTCATTTTTACAAAACAACATGTTTGATATCATGTACTTATTTTTACTAATTTATCGCACCTGAAAAATAACGATATTGAGTAAATAATCATATAGATACATTTAAGAATTAAATGACAAATTAAAAACCAATTGTCCAGAGAACAATTGAAGGTCTTTTCACACTAAATTTCTAAAATAAATTACCAGAAGCTACTTCCGGTTTACTCAAAGTTACTATTGGCGCCCAATCATGGAGTTCTTCATATTTAAAAATATAAGTCTTGTATATACTTTTGTCTAAAATAAGGGAGATAGTTTGCTAGAAAATGTCCCCTCAAGTTTAATGTGATAGCTTTATTCGCACTGATTCCAAAAATATATGGTATCTATATACTTTTGCATGAAATAAGGGAGAAATTTTCTATTTCCGGTTAAGAAAATGTTACTTCCTGTCTCTAATGATAGCTTTATTATTACTGATTCCAAATATATATGGTTTCTATATAATTTGCCTAAAATAGAGAGATCATAAGCTACTTCCACTTTATAGAAGGTCACTTCCGGTCTCTAATGATAGTTTTATATATGGGTATTAAAATAAAAATATGGTTTTTAGGTACTTTACTTTGAACAAAGTGCAAAAATTGCTACTTTCGATCTACTCAAGGCCACTTCCGGTAAATATCTTTAAAGGTTATATGTCACCCAACGTTTTGCGAAAGACCCCATGGGTTTATCATGTACCATATTGAAGAAATAAGCAATTTACCTTAATTTTTAACATTTCAGGGGAAATTACTCCACTAAGATATAATCAGATCGCTTCAGACTGAATGTACCATATCTTCGTCTCAACAACCCAAATATTTAGCACTAGTTATTTCATTTCCAGATTTTATAGTATGAGAAAAGATGCACACACAAGCAAAGGGCAAAATTTAAATCATGACCTTGACCTATGAACTTGACACCATTTTCTATTTGGTGGACCAAGGACCTCAAATTAAGATACCCGAGGTCTCTATCACTAACGGTTCACGAGTTACTTGTATATATCTCTTATGACAAATACAAAAGGGGAGATAACTCTCATATGGAATCTCAGTATCGCTTCGGTAAAAATTGATCAAAGCATCCTGAGGAATTAACATTCAAGCAATTTAGAAAAATAAATTTGTCGATTTCTTTTACATAATCACTCACTCGAAAAAGTTGACTCTACAAAATATGTAGGCCTAACTCTTCAATCAAACTTAAAATGGGATAAATATATCGATAACATGACAACAAAAGCAAACCAGGGGTTCTTTTCACAAAAAATCTTAAAAGTAAAATTCTCGTAAGTCATTCACATTTCAGTATAACTTACGATCAATTTGAATCGTAAGATGTTTTGTAAAAAGAGTCACAGTCTCTTGGATTTATTCGCAGAAACCTTAAAACAGCCTCACCTAAAACCAAAGATCATGCATTCAAAGCTCTTGTCCGACCAAAATTAGAGTAACTGCTCAACCTTTTGGGATCCACATCAAAAACAACAGTACAGAAAAGAGCAACCCGCTTCCCTTGCAACCGCTTTCACAACACCAGCTAAGTTACTGATATGATGACAGACTTAAATTGGTACCCACTTGAAATTAGTCGTTTAAGTTATATACTTGTTTCTTTCACAAAATTATACACGAAATTGTTGCAGTCCCTACATTTAATCTTTTGATCCCACTAGACAATAGAACCAGATATAACAATCCCCACGCATTTTGGCCAATACAAACATCTAAAGACAGTTGTAAATATGCATTTTATCCGCGTACAGTTATAAATTGGAATCAATTGTCACAACTAGTAGTTTCATGCAGTACAGTACAGGGTTTCAACAGGATGATCTCAGAATTTGCTCTAATCCCTATTTTCTACCCTTAACTGTTATCGTTATGAAATGTTTATAGTGTTATCTAAATGTTATTTTTCAAATGTACATATATTATTTTGATTTTAATTTTGTTTCTTTTTCTTGTTGCCTTGTAAATCATAAATCCAACTTTAAAGTCGACGCCCGGCGAATAATCTTCAATTGATGAAGGATCGCTAGAAACTTAAAGAAGAAGAAGTCCATATGTGTGTTGCAAACAATGGTTCATATTTAATGTATAAAGACTTGTTGTGGGTAACGTCCAAGTTAATTTTTGTGCAATTAAACGTCAGAGCTCATATTCCTTGGACTATAAGTAACATGATTAATTAAACTTAAGGTATGATATAAACTGCAGAATAGGTCAGTATCATGTCAAAGAAAGATCATCAAGCTCCATCGACTTTGGACAGATACTTACGCCCGAGTCCATATTACAGTAATTTCAAGTAAAACAATACAGATCAACTTGTGTAGATTAACATGCATGGGGAGTAGATTAACAATTTTACAAAATATCGTCACTATCACCTACATTTCACGCTTCAATGGTTTTACTTGAGTTATATGTCAGAGATAATGGTTAGGTAGGTATAAGTAGTGGGATGGATGCATCTTTTGGAGAAGATCAAATCCAGACAGAGATAGGTAAATGAAGGTATATCTCATGCTTTCTAATTTTTAATCGATTACAAAAACTGGGTAGAGCAAGGCTAACTTTTTACTCATGATCCTGAATTTGTTAGAATTTAAAAACAAAAGTATCCCGTGAGCATTGTGCCTCCTATATAAAAAAATTTAAAGTAAAAAGTTATTAAATCACACAGGTTGCACAATATTATAAGTTCAAAGCCTATGTTTCATAGTAATATACTTGCATTAAATGTCATTTTACCTGTTATCGCTGTAAAACTTTACACAGAAGCTGAAAGCAGACAAGCTTTTAAACAGCCATACTAGTTTATCGAATATTGATTTAACAGTACTGTACATTTGTGCGGGCAAGATGCAATTATTTTGACGACGAAACATGATTTTATCATGATATTGACGCATATACCCAATCAGCATACCGTTCAACAAACCATTTATACCTATCCATAAGCATATCCGGTACACTTCAATGTAAAAGTAAAAGCATCTTATTCCCAATATCCTGGGAACCTATAAAGAAAAACAAATTAAAAAGAATTGATTTTTTAGACAAGTTATTTACCAACTCAAGACGGACACAGTTTATCCTCATCCATTATTTGAAAGTTCAAAACCTAATACAAATGTTGAAGTTTTATTACTTTAAAATGGAATTTATCGACCGACTTCAACATATATGGTTACACAAAAATTATAAAAAATCCACTAATACATAAGTAGAAAAATTTCTTTTTAATGTCATTACTCTAATATTGAGAGTAGATAAATCACAACTGACAATGAAAGATAACCTGAATAAATCTTCAAAGAAAAGTAGCGTTTTCAAGATCTAAAATGACTTCTTTTTTTACGATCAAGACATAGTTAATACTGCCATTAACAAAAGCTTTGCAATATTTGTTAATGACCAGTACCTTAAAAGTTTTTAAAGCACAAGACAATGGAACGGAAAAACGTATATGTTGTATCGTCAACTCAATACTACTATAGCAAAAGGTGAAGTAGTGAAGCAGCCTATTACAAAATAATGACAAAATTTCGCATTACTTAATCCCATGAGAAATATGTTATTTCATCGGGCATGATAACAAAACCAGCGGCCATTAAATTAGATTAAATTTTAAAAATGTTATAACAAAATTACTGAACTCCAAGGTAAATTAAAAAAGAAGGAAGTCCCAATAAAACTTCCAAAAACAAACGCTTGATTATATCAACCAACGCAACGACTGAAAAACAATTGTCATATTCCTGATTTGGTACAGGCATTTTCCGAAGAAAATGATGGTTTAAACCTGATAGTTTTTCATAAATATATGTTTTAACGAAAAAGCCCACCTTTAAAACATATGTTAATATATATAAAGTCTTCGGAATGTTTACGAATTCTTCAAATACTTTAAGATATCATAATACAAAGTTCATTCTTTATAAACAGACATGCGCAAAAATATAATAAGTTGTATGCGGAAAATATGTTGTACCTGTTTACTTATCTACAAACACTGACGAATAGTTCTGTCACATGGCACAGGTAAGGTGTTTTCATAGTTTTTATTAAAAGTATTTATAAAAAGTTCGCATTAACAATTGTGTGATCAGTCTTAAGATTTCTATGTAGTGCATTATAAACTGTTGTTTATCAATTCTTTGCTTTTTGCCACTGTATTGACATTTCTCTTCGACTTCTTTTTATTTTCCCTTTGGTATCCTCTGTCTCTTTTTGTTCATCATTCTAATCTTGTCGTAAATGTTGGCCGACTCTTACATGTCAAGAGCAAATTTTAATTCACTGCAGATTTTTCTTTGCATGTTTTGCTACAGATTCATAAAAATGGCTATAGTTTATTTTGAGTACAGAAGAACCAGTGCAACTATAGTGTTTTGGAAAAGTTTTGAGCGCTTGCAAGGACTAAATCTTTAAAATTGTACTACATTTTGTATTTCAGAAAAGGGTCACTAAGGTTAAAATGGGGCTGTAAACATAAAATTGACAGCCCCATACTATCGTAAAAAGTCCAGGTTATGAATTCTTAAAAGCTTTCATTACAACAAGTTTAAAGTCATTTTCTAAAAGAGAGCTTAGAACTGTTTGTAATTTAGTAAGCTAATTCATTTGAAATTTGTATACAATACGCTGTTGAAGATTACTAAGCGCCAATGAAATACAATAATTTTGTATTTTATAAACTAGTCACATATAGTTAACGGCGTTTTTCTCACAATGACGTTCTACCTCCATAAGCCTTGGAATGTCATGGCGGGTCACATATATATTTATGACTTTAAACTTGTTGTAATGAAGTTAGTATAAAATTTGTCAAAGAAAGCTTTTAGAAGCTTTAAGAATTTATGATGCATGTCTCTACACCACATAGCATGCGAAGCGTAACAGTTTATAAGTAGTTGTTCTCATATATACATTTGAAACGGTGCATTTATTATAGATATATTTTAAACTCCATTTATGAAAATCTATAGAGCAGAGAATTTAGATTTTGTTTCATCAATTTCATATGTAGATTCAAATATTTTTCACTTCAAACGATAAGTTTAAACATAAAACTTCTTCAGAACTTATATAGGATGTATGGTTCAGTGCCAGCAAAAAAAAAGCCAAGGTAAAGTCTTAATCTCTTCTTCACAAATACTTATTCAATCGAATCTCGAGGACATTGAAGGAACCATCTGAAAACAGTTATAAACTTGTAATTGATTGATTTACCCTCAACTTATATATATGTTTAACCGGGCTTCAACTTATGAAGTCAGAGGCGGATTTTTATATCTATTTCTTTTCTTTTCTTTTCTTTTTTCTTTTCTTTTAGTTTTGGTATGAGGTATGAGCCGCAGCTACATATATGGTAAATGCCACTCCTTATGTTGTCATGGTCCCCACCCTTTTCAAAATCTTTGAATTGTTAATTACTAACATATTTTAAATCTACGATGTAAACCTATTTTACGAGATTTTTGTACTTTTATTGATAAATACTTTGTCTGGTCTTTTCTGTTTACTTACTTATGGAATAACTGTACATCGCATGTATTCACGTTAATTGTTTTATACCAACCGACTGTCCCTAGTATAGCTAAATACATTTTATTTCTTTAAATTCATTTAGAAGCTTGTATTCTTATGGAAACTACAATATTTTACAGTTTGTGACAAATTTATGTCGACAAAAGCGTTGACAATAATATATGATCGAAGGGGGGTATTAAATGGCTATGACTTTATAAAAAAGGAAGATTTTGGTATGATTGCCAATGAAAAAACTCTCCACCAAAGACCAAATGACGTAGAAGTTAACAGTTATAGGTTACCGTACGACCTTCAACATGGAGCAAAATCCAAACCGCATAGTAAACAAAAAAGGGCCCCAAAATTTTTTGAAGTTTATGATTAGTTCGCTTGCAATGGTAAAAAGCATCCAAAACATAAATTCAGTATAGAAATTAACGTGTATGTCCCATACGAAATTTTACATAACGTTTATATATGATATTTAACGGCGTTTTTCTAACAATGACGTTCTACCTCAATAAGCCTGGAAATGTCATGGCGGGTCACATATAGTTTAATAGTTAGCAGATAATTTTATGACAATATGTTAAAACTTTCGTCTTTTCCGTATAAAATCAAAAGCAGAAATCTAATTTTCTGTATATTCTATATGAAACTTTTGTTGCCTGAATTAAAGATTCATTTGTCAAACACCGTCCAACTAGACTTTCAACTATGAATTAACACGAAACAAAACGAATTGCAAAATTGAATATTTAATTAACATTTAAAATTCTCTTTTCATATTTGTTACCCTCTAGTTGTTCTGCTAATGACCATGTATTTCATTTGACATACATTGTATAAGACTAGTTGATTTGATTTAGTACAACTAGTCCAAACAGAAACAAAACGCATCATATTTCAAGCCACCTTTGGTCCCGTTTTAAATGACAATGCAAAATAGTTCTTTTAAGCCATTTCTCCAACATACACTGTAAGACAAAACGATACACCAAAAGTTTGGTCTAACATCGACTATTTTCAGTGATGGAAATTGCAACTGATTAGTGTCATAGATTAAGGTGACAGGATTTTACTGATGTTCAAATCTCGTTAATCATTGACAGAATGGCATGAACTCCAAAAGGAGGATAGGATAGAGACAAAAGTAACTAATGTTCATCCAAATTTGACCACACTGTACTATGGTGCACAAGATAATTGTAAAACTGTATGAATTTTTGATAACTTTTGCTAGACAGATTCATTATGGTTAACATTTGCAATCTTATGTTCAATTTTATCATTTTAAATGTGAAATTTGTGAAGGTGAAAATTTCAAAAACGGAAATCTCTGAAAATTTATATAAATGTTATGTAGAATATCCAATAAATGTTAATACTCTTAAAAAATTGATCAACTTCCAGGGATCTGTGCATGAGTTTGGAATTTGGTTAAATAGAAAATACACTCAGTTGTTGCCTTTCTATTGGCACTCAGTACCAACGACGTTTGAATTAGAAATGAAAGTGTTGCTGTCTCATTGACCTTAACTACAAATTTCCTTTTAATGTATTTATAATTATCACATCCTATTTCCGGTTATCGGTACTACAAATGCAATAGTAACACAGATCAAAATTACATGTATCCATTGCTACAGTATTGAAAAGCTAATTGAATCAGCAGTAATTGGTTGTTGATTGAGTGATGGTTGCTTACCGTCCAGTGGCAAATATTTCATGCATGTTAAGATCAAATAAACAATAGATACAAATGGTAGGTCCTGCAACAGAGGCCGTCCGGGAGGAAGGTCGGGGAAATTTAGACTGCCACTGAAAAATGATGGTACATTTGATAGGAACAGATATTTTGCCTTGCAACCGGACCCCTCAAAGAGTTGTTACAAGGGTTCTTAACGTGCAAAGAGCGTGGCAGCACTCTTTCTACACAAGGTATCGGATTTAACGTTCCCATTCTGACCGGACATGGCTGCGTACTTGTACATCCCGCGCAGCCAAAACGGATGCCCCACTTAGGCAAGGGGTTTAATGCCGGTCGGAAGAAGACCTGTAGTGACCTTATTTTTATTCCCTAGTCACCCTTGGGAGTCAGCAGAAACTCGATTGCTAGATTCATTGCTATGGTTTTGAAAAACCAGTTGGTACAGCAGAAACAAATTTGCTGTACAGGATTTTTAGATCCATTGCTACTTGTGCTACAGTATTGAAAAAGTAATTGGTACAGCAGATACAAATTTGCTGTACATGATTGCTAGATCCATTGCTAAAGTTTTGAAAAGGCAATTGGTACAGCTGACACAAATTTGCTATACACAATTGCTAGATCCATTGCTTCAATATTGAAAAGGCAATTGGTACAGCAGACACAAATTTGTTGTACACGATAGCAAAAAATAATTGTTACAACGGCAATCTTAAATACAGATTCTTTGGTATCTGTCGTAGTGATAGCGTGTGTGTTCATGATTACAGGAAAGTTAAACTGTTAATTTGAATGAGTTTCAATTTCACGTAATTGTTAAAATTCATGACGGAGTCACATGAAATCAAAATCAACAAAAAACTGACCTGTCAACCGTTTGGGAACAACAGAATATCGTTCTATCTAAATCACTGTCCTGAACGAGCTCGGTGAAGATTCTAAAAGAACCAGTTTCTGTAAAATTGGTGACAAAAAAAAATAATTAAAAAATATATTTATGTCCAGTTGCTCCTTGTCCGTTATCAAAATGTTTTAAGTATAGTACAATCATGGTCATATACCAATCTAACCCAAGCATGACTTTGGTGTAGGAATTATAAATTTTGTCTTCTTCCGACCAGCAGTAAAATTCTTGCCAAATTCGGGCGTTTGTTTGACTGTGTGTGATGTATTAATTCGCAGATAGGTCCGATCAGAATTGCAACGTTCATTCCAAATCTCATATAGAGAGAGAGTTTCACTCTTTATGCACGTTTAAGAACCCTTGCAGCAACTCTTTGATGGATTCTCAATTTGTCCTGTTGCATAGAAATATTTCTTCACCATTTGGTCACCGATCCAACATACTAATGTTTTTCAAATGCAGTCCAAATTTTCCGCCTTGTAACAGACTTACCTTTTATATATATATATTGTCAATAGTTTCTCATCCTAAGTATGCATAAATAATTGCCACTTGAATCTAAGCAATCAATTTATAATCATTGTAATGAAAATAATATCTGGTGTTATCCGAACAAAGGTGGTTAAAAATTTATCTATCTTGTACTATCCTTAACATATTCGAAATAGTCGAATATAGTCATAAATATGAATATATGTCACAGGATAAAATATGGTCGATTATATTAGATCCGCCCTCACATTCTAATGATAACAATAAATGTATTTTTTCTAAGAATCTGTATAGTAACTTTGATTTGCAGACCATTAACGAAAGGCGTACCCAAATTATATTTTGTTTTCCAATAACATACAACATTTTTGACTGCAAGTGCTTCTCATAACAAAGTAAAACGAATGCATAGGAAAATACACGAATAGGTTGATATATCTTGTTATTTCAGAGTTAATGATCAGAATTGAAGGGTTGAAAAATGGTTGATCGTACACATAATTTTAATATAAAAATAAGAAGATGTGGTATGATTGCCAATGAGACAACTCTCCACAAGAGACAAAATGACACAGATATAAACACCTATAGGTCACCGTAAGGCCTTCAACAATGAGTAAAACCCATACCGCATAGTAAGCTATAAAAGGCCCCGAAATGACAAATGTAAAACAATTCAAACGAGAAAACTAACGGCCTAATTTATGTACAAAATAATGAACGAAAAACAAATATTATAAACAGCAACAAACGACAACCACTAAATTACAGGCTCCTGATTTGAGACGGGCACATACAGAATGTGGCGGGGTTAAACTAGTCTGAAGGCGAGCCAACCCTCCCCTAACCTGGGACAGTGGCGTAACAGTACAACATAAGAACAAACTTAAAAAATCAGTTGAAAAGGTCTTAACTAATCAGATCGATATAAAGCAGAAATACATCTAACAAATCAGATCAGAGAGTATTCGCACTTACTGACAGCCAGTTCAAAGTCAATAACAATTAATAAAATAAAATCATGCATCTAAGACTAAAAGCATGATGCGCTTTGGATGATAAATTTAGAAATTAATAATTATACAATTTTATAAACAAAATTTGTAGGTTGTCAATGGTGAAAAAGCATCTATGAGTTCTTATAGTCGTCAGAATAGATTCAAAAAGCAAGACAGTATGGCAGACATTAAAAGCAGTAATTGTGATGAAACAAATATGGGTAAATATATATCTCTCTCCTTTTCTCTCTCCCGTTTTTGCAAAAACTGGTGACAAAAGTAATTATCCTCCTAATAAAAACTTTAAATGATTAATACGTTCTCTGCATGCATCTCTTGATGTATAAAAGTAGATTAAGCAAATTAAGGTCAATATACGTTCCTCTGTTCACAAATAAACCAGGATAGGACACTTTAAAAGACAGGGTTTTTTTTGGGGGGGGGGGGGGGGGTATAAATATATATTTGTGTAAAATAGTTTTGTAGAAAATGTGTCTTCACAGGAGAAGGTTACAATCTTGTATACCAACTGGCTGATCTTTGCCAAGATATGTAAATCAAAGAACTTTCAGTGAGCAATCACACACTCTACACGCCCCATATAATTAAAAGTTTTTGAACGTTTTGTATCAAATGATTTGTTCAAAATTGAAAAGCATTGTTTCTGTTACTCCCATACAGGAAACAACTCTAATGAACACACAAGTAAGGGTCAAGTCACGTGGAATTCACACAAGATGAAGTCCATGAGAGATTCAACACGACTCGGCACTTCCTTGCATGGAACAAACTTGTCTACATTAATGACAAATACAAATTATGGTATTGTCTTTGGTATTGAAATCACAAACTGGACAAAGTATCATCTGACCGAACCAAAAACGAAGACATATTCAGGATACATATCAACGCCCGCTGTTTCAGTAAGACCTGGACATAAAGAGGCAATGGTAAATATTTATCATGTACTGTTTCGTTGATCTTCTATCGTAATTTAAATTTCAAGTACAAACGTATCATCTTCCATTCTACAACTGATGTTATAATAAGTCAGGCCATGCATGTTTCTCTTTGTTTTACGTCAAAAAAATATTTAAAAACTCAAACCCCAGTCTTACATTCATGATTTTTACTGCCGTCTCTGATAGGAAAATTACCGATTGAAAAATTTTTAAAGTCTGACCATAATCCTGTGATTCATGACTTGTCTGTTTAAGATTTGTAAAACCATTTATTTAGTCACGACAAATATCAGGAAGTGTTCATAAAGCGTCCCCATTCAGCCGTTTACATCCGAGTTCTTCCCGATTTTGCAGTTTTGTATCCGAGTCTGATTTGTATCTTAAACGAGGTACAGTCGGCACAAAATCATATGATTCTTGGAGTGAAGTTTGTAAACACATTTATTTCATCACGACAACGATCACATATTGGTTAGAATTGGCGTTTGTTTTTGTTGCACTTCAGTGTTTCTGTTGTTCCGTTGTCTTCCTCTTATAGTTTATGTGTTTCCCTCGGTTTTAGTTTGTAACCCGGATTTGTTTTCTCTCAATCGATTTATGACTTATATATAGCGGTATACTACTGTTGCCTATTTTTATCCTGTTTTCAATCCGATTCCTGTCCGAATATATCTTTATCTCTCGCATAGTAAACAAAGAGAGCCGGGTCTTTCAAAAGTGTTCCGACTTGGATCAGATAGTGAACCTACACTGACAGTTTGCATTCGGCAACATCTGGACACTATCCATTTTTTTCTGGACTCGGTCAGTAAGAAGTAGTATATATATATTTATCTTTTTATAAGAAATAAAATAATTGACTTTAATAAAAAAATAATTTTTAAAACGGAATAACATCAAAAAAGTCACATTGTTACATGTAATATAACTGTTAACGCTTTTCATGTTCAATCGGCTCTTCTGAGATTAACCCAACGTTGTTATAGGTTCGGTGATTGTCGTCTGCTACCCATTTTATTTAGGGGGTGGCACGCATGGTAACCAATTTTCTAAAAATTAAGCCTAGCCGCATAAGTTGTCTTATTTGTAGATCTTTCAACACTGATCATTTTTACTCTTACAGTTTCTCTTTATCTACTTTCTCTCTGCCAAATTCATACCAACTGGGAAATATCATGGTTTAAGTGCAGTTACTTCTTTAACATGTTTAAGGAGATGATTGGGGTTTCTATCATCTGACATGTATGAACAGTTTATTCTCCTGGTCATTGCTCATTGCAGTTCTTTAATAGTTTCCGGCAAAAAAATATTTTGTAAAAAAAGTTTTGATCAAAATGGCTAGTTACGTACAAATATGTAAATTTTTGACAATCAAGACAATGTTGCCATGTCACTTTTTTATATCTATAATGGTTTTCAATATAAAAGACATTGCTCTCTAATCTATGCCTTATTTGTTACATTGGTGGACAGACAGTATCTTCAGATCATTTCGTCAATTAGATGTCCCAGGGAAAGTGTACAAGATAATAGATTAGATTTGCGGGCGACAAAGCCAAAAGTAATAATAACCCATCAAGTACTTAATTAAATATAATTTAACAAACTTTACGTGCCTTTCGTCTTCAAACTCAACATGGTGCTCCAATTATACAGTTTAAAGGCGAACTTTATAAGGAAATCAAAGACCAATGAAAACTAAGAGTATCCGAATCGGTGTGCCATATCTGGCTCAAGCCAAATATGACTGGGTGCAACAACCTTAGTATTTCGAAAGATTATAAGTTTTACCAATTTATAATTATAAGTTCTCGTCCAGTTCCGTTTTTTAATGCAAAATCATGGTTATCGATAAATGCTGTCGTGTAATATCCACATAAATTTCAATTAAGATCTTATTTATATTGATGTTTTATTTCACTTTTAGATAGTACATAAGCACGGTTATACCATGACAGGATCAAGTGGAATTGTCTCTTGGCTTATAGAAAACCAAAAAAGGCGCATTGCAATCGTGTGGAAATCACCATATTTTAGCAGCAACAGTGTTGGTATTTGCATAACGACGGTTGGTAATGAAAATCAAGACGATTCCTGGTTCAATGTTATAAGTAACAAGCAACAGGATGAAAAACTGAAATATAAATTTTCTACGTTTAGCGATACGAGTGATGAAATAATGATTAAAGATAACGATTTTCAGTTATTTGGTTCCATGGGAACCAGCAGTAAACCAGAAGTTAAAATAACACTGCGTCCGACAATGACACATGACTTATCCATTACAAAACCACAATAGTCAATGAATACATTTTTTGTATTTGTGTAATCAGTTCCATAGGAGAAGACTGAAAAGTAATATTAACAAACTTCTGAAAATGATAGAAAATAAGAGTATGTAATCTTAACGACTATGTTCAGAAGTTAGATATTGAACTCTTTCATTTTATTACTTTTTTCAAAATAGTTACTGTGGTGAGCTCGAGGGTGTGTGAGCAGGATTTCGTACCGATCATACAAACAGTAAGTGTGAGGTCAGTTTCCCCACATTTTTTTTCTTTTCACGTGGAAAAGTATATGTCTATATTAGGAATACAAATAAATCTTTCGGGTGTTTTTAATACTTTCGTGGTGTTTTTAGTATTCCAAATTTCTCAGAATTTTACCAGCTTCCAAATATTGTCGTGTTATTGAATTAAATAAACGAAAATATCCATACCTGTTATACACATCGTCAAGCGTTATTCAATGTTTACATTGATTTTCTGATGACAAAATGTCACTGTTGCTGTATTTCCAAAACGTATAGTTATTTGCTAGGAGATTCGCAAACTATTTGTATGGCGTAATCTTTCTTTAATGATATAGGAAAATAGGATTAATAAAATATAAAGTCTGACAATAATATTAAGATGGCTCCGTATTACTTTTTCCTTAATAAAAATTGTTACTTATAATACGTATTTTCTTTTACTTTTCATCTATTGTTTCCTGGTCTTACAAAAAGGAAATTTCAAATTGATTTGAATAGTATTACAATTTCCAACAGAAAGAAGTCAAGGAGATCCATTTTTAATTAAAATAAACATTGAATGTTGAATAAATATTTCAAATAAAGTCATGATAAGGACATAATTGTATATTATATCACATGATATTAATAAGCATTTACGTATAGTTTCCATTGTTTTGCACTTCTAGCTGGATAACAGGGAAATAAACGTCGATGCTATTTATGATTACATGTCAATACATGTATCATTTTACATGCTACTTTTTTGATTTCAAAAGTAGTGTGCTTTTCATGCACACAAAATTAATATACATTCAACTGTCATACAAGTGAGAGGTTTAGCTGCCTATGAAACCAGGTTTAATCCACCATTTTCTACATAAGGAAATGGCTGTTCCATGTCAGAAATATGACAGTGGTTTTCCAAACGTTTGATGTGTTTCAGCTTTTGAGTGTTCCATTTGATAAGGGACTTTCCAATTTGAACGTTCCTTGGAGTTCGGTAATTTTGACATTTTACCTTTTTCGTAGGACAAGGACATAATTGTATATTATTTCACATGTATCTATATAAAGTATTTAATAAAATTGAGAATGGAAACGGAAATGTACCAAAGAGACAATCCTACCATAGAGCAGAAAACAGCTCAAGGCCACCAATGGATAATCAACACAGCGAGAAAATCCCGCACCTTAAGGCCGGGCTTCAGTTGATTTTAAAACAAAAATGCGTCAGCGAAAATGGACGTCACACTAAACTCCTAAACATATAAATGAATCAAAATTACACAAAATATACAAAACTAACAAAGGCCAGAGGCTCCTAACTTGGGACAGGCGTAACATAGCGACAGGGTTAAACATGTTTTGTGAGATCTCAACCCTCCCCTATTCCTCTAGTCAATGTAGAATAAACAAACACACAGCAATACACACAGTTAAACTCACTTTAAAAAAGACTCTCCGAGTCCGATTTTTAGAAAGGGTAACAGCAGAAACTAAGCAAAATGACAATGATACATAATATAACAAAGGACTACAAGCAGTCACTGACATGCAAGCTTCAGGCCTCAATTAAACTGAATGAAAGATTATATATTCATCATATGAAAATCAGGCACAATCGATTTTTACTGGTTATCCGCCAAAAACTTGCTGATAATAAAATTAACAGTTTATTAATTTGATACTAATGAAGACAATTTAGGATTTACCATCATAAGGAACACTCAAAGCCAAAAAATGA